ACAGCAGTACTGATGTCATTAATGACAGTATTAATGTTATATCACAGCACTGACAGCACTGATGTTATTATTGACAGTATTAATGTTATATCACAGCACTGACAGCACTGATGTTATTATTGACAGAATTACTGACAGTATTAATGTTATATCACAGCACTGATGTTATTATTGACAGTATTAATGTTATATCACAGCACTGACAGCACTGATGTTATTATTGACAGAATTATTGACAGTATTAATGTTATATCACAGCACTGATGTTATTATTGACAGTATTAATGTTATATCACAGCACTGACAGCACTGATGTTATTATTGACAGTATTAATGACAGTATTAATGTTATATCACAGCACTGACAGCACTGATGTTATTATTGACAGTATTAATGACAGTATTAATGTTATATCACAGCACTGACAGCACTGACAGTATTAATGACAGTATTAATGACAGTATTAATGTTATATCACAGCACTGACTGACAGTATTAATGACAGTATTAATGTTATATCACAGCACTGACAGTATTAATGACAGTATTAATGTTATATCACAGCACTGACAGTATTAATGACAGTATTAATGTTATATCACAGCACTGACAGCACTGATGTTATTATTGACAGAATTATTGACAGTATTAATGACAGTATTAATGTTATATCACAGCACTGACAGTATTAATGACAGTATTAATGTTATATCACAGCACTGACAGTATTAATGACAGTATTAATGTTATATCACAGCACTGACAGCACTGATGTTATTATTGACAGTATTATTGACAGTATTAATGTTATATCACAGCACTGACAGCACTGATGTTATTATTGACAGAATTATTGACAGTATTAATGACAGTATTAATGTTATATCACAGCACTGACAGTATTAATGACAGTATTAATGTTATATCACAGCACTGACAGTATTAATGACAGTATTAATGTTATATCACAGCACTGACAGTATTAATGTTATATCACAGCACTGACAGCACTGATGTTATTATTGACAGTATTATTGACAGTATTAATGTTATATCACAGCACTGACAGCACTGATGTTATTATTGACAGAATTATTGACAGTATTAATGACAGTATTAATGTTATATCACAGCACTGACAGTTTTAATGACAGTATTAATGTTATATCACAGCACTGACAGTATTAATGACAGTATTAATGTTATATCACAGCACTGACAGTATTAATGACAGTATTAATGTTATATCACAGCACTGACAGTATTAATGACAGTATTAATGTTATATCACAGCACTGACAGTATTAATGACAGTATTAATGTTATATCACAGCACTGATGTTATTATTGACAGAATTATTGACAGAATTATTGACAGAATTATTGACAGTATTATTGACAGTATTAATGTTATATCACAGCACTGACAGTATTAATGACAGTATTAATGTTATATCACAGCACTGACAGTATTAATGACAGTATTAATGTTATATCACAGCACTGACAGTATTAATGACAGTATTAATGTTATATCACAGCACTGACAGTATTAATGACAGTATTAATGTTATATCACAGCACTGACAGTATTAATGACAGTATTAATGTTATATCACAGCACTGACAGTATTAATGACAGTATTAATGTTATATCACAGCACTGATGTTATTATTGACAGAATTATTGACAGAATTATTGACAGTATTATTGACAGTATTAATGTTATATCACAGCACTGACAGTATTAATGACAGTATTAATGTTATATCACAGCACTGACAGTATTAATGACAGTATTAATGTTATATCACAGCACTGACAGTATTAATGACAGTATTAATGTTATATCACAGCACTGACAGTATTAATGACAGTATTAATGTTATATCACAGCACTGATGTTATTATTGACAGAATTATTGACAGAATTATTGACAGTATTATTGACAGTATTAATGTTATATCACAGCACTGACAGTATTAATGACAGTATTAATGTTATATCACAGCACTGACAGTATTAATGACAGTATTAATGTTATATCACAGCTCTGACAGTATTAATGACAGTATTAATGTTATATCACAGCACTGACAGTATTAATGACAGTATTAATGTTATATCACAGCACTGACAGTATTAATGACAGTATTAATGTTATATCACAGCACTGACAGTATTAATGACAGTATTAATGTTATATCACAGCACTGACAGTATTAATGACAGTATTAATGTTATATCACAGCACTGATGTTATTATTGACAGAATTATTGACAGAATTATTGACAGTATTATTGACAGTATTAATGTTATATCACAGCACTGACAGTATTAATGACAGTATTAATGTTATATCACAGCACTGACAGTATTAATGACAGTATTAATGTTATATCACAGCACTGACAGTATTAATGACAGTATTAATGTTATATCACAGCACTGACAGTATTAATGACAGTATTAATGTTATATCACAGCACTGATGTTATTATTGACAGAATTATTGACAGAATTATTGACAGTATTATTGACAGTATTAATGTTATATCACAGCACTGACAGTATTAATGACAGTATTAATGTTATATCACAGCACTGACAGTATTAATGACAGTATTAATGTTATATCACAGCTCTGACAGTATTAATGACAGTATTAATGTTATATCACAGCACTGACAGTATTAATGACAGTATTAATGTTATATCACAGCACTGACAGTATTAATGACAGTATTAATGTTATATCACAGCACTGACAGTATTAATGACAGTATTAATGTTATATCACAGCACTGACTGACAGTATTAATGACAGTATTAATGTTATATCACAGCACTGACAGTATTAATGACAGTATTAATGTTATATCACAGCACTGACAGCACTGATGTTATTATTGACAGTATTAATGACAGTATTAATGTTATATCACAGCACTGACAGTATTAATGACAGTATTAATGTTATATCACAGCACTGACAGTATTAATGACAGTATTAATGTTATATCACAGCACTGACAGCACTGATGTTATTATTGACAGAATTTTTGACAGTATTAATGACAGTATTAATGTTATATCACAGCACTGACAGTTTTAATGACAGTATTAATGTTATATCACAGCACTGACAGTATTAATGACAGTATTAATGTTATATCACAGCACTGACAGTATTAATGACAGTATTAATGTTATATCACAGCACTGACAGTATTAATGACAGTATTAATGTTATATCACAGCACTGACAGCACTGGTGTTATTAATGACAGTATTAATGTTATATCACAGCACTGACAGCACTGGTGTTATTAATGACAGTATTAATGTTATATCACAGCACTGACAGTATTAATGACAGTATTAATGTTATATCACAGCACTGATGTTATTATTGACAGAATTATTGACAGAATTATTGACAGTATTAATGTTATATCACAGCACTGACAGTATTAATGACAGTATTAATGTTATATCACAGCACTGACTGACAGTATTAATGACAGTATTAATGTTATATCACAGCACTGACAGCACTGATGTTATTATTGACAGAATTATTGACAGTATTAATGACAGTATTAATGTTATATCACAGCGCTGACAGTATTAATGACAGTATTAATGTTATATCACAGCACTGACAGTATTAATGACAGTATTAATGTTATATCACAGCACTGACAGTATTAATGACAGTATTAATGTTATATCACAGCACTGACAGTATTAATGACAGTATTAATGTTTTATCACAGCACTGACAGTATTAATGACAGTATTAATGTTATATCACAGCACTGACAGTATTAATGACAGTATTAATGTTATATCACAGCACTGACAGCACTGATGTTATTATTGACAGTATTAATGACAGTATTAATGTTATATCACAGCACTGACAGTATTAATGACAGTATTAATGTTATATCACAGCACTGACAGTATTATTGACAGTATTAATGTTATATCACAGCACTGACAGCACTGATGTTATTATTGACAGAATTATTGACAGTATTAATGACAGTATTAATGTTATATCACAGCACTGATGTTATTATTGACAGTATTATTGACAGTATTAATGTTATATCACAGCACTGATGTTATTATTGACAGTATTATTGACAGTATTAATGTTATATCACAGCACTGATGTTATTATTGACAGTATTATTGACAGTATTAATGTTATATCACAGCACTGACAGCAATGATGTTATTATTGACAGTATTATTGACAGTATTAATGTTATATCACAGCACTGATGTTATTATTGACAGTATTATTGACAGTATTAATGTTATATCACAGCACTGATGTTATTATTGACAGTATTAATGTTATATCACAGCACTGACAGCAATGATGTTATTATTGACAGTATTATTGACAGTATTAATGACAGTATTAATGTTATATCACAGCACTGACAGCACTGGTGTTATTAATGACAGTATTATTGACAGTATTAATGTTATATCACAGCACTGACAGCAATGATGTTATTATTGACAGTATTATTGACAGTATTAATGACAGTATTAATGTTATATCACAGCACTGACAGCACTGGTGTTATTAATGACAGTATTATTGACAGTATTAATGTTATATCACAGCACTGATGTTATTATTGACAGTATTATTGACAGTATTAATGACAGTATTAATGTTATATCACAGCACTGACAGCACTGGTGTTATTAATGACAGTATTAATGTTATATCACAGCACTGACAGCACTGGTGTTATTAATGACAGTATTAATGTTATATCACAGCACTGACAGCACTGGTGTTATTAATGACAGTATTAATGTATCACAGCACTGACAGCAATGATGTTATTATTGACAGTATTATTGACAGTATTAATGACAGTATTAATGTTATATCACAGCACTGACAGCACTGGTGTTATTAATGACAGTATTAATGTTATATCACAGCACTGACAGCAATGATGTTATTATTGACAGTATTATTGACAGTATTAATGACAGTATTAATGTTATATCACAGCACTGACAGCAATGATGTTATTATTGACAGTATTATTGACAGTATTAATGACAGTATTAATGTTATATCACAGCACTGACAGCACTGGTGTTATTAATGACAGTATTAATGTTATATCACAGCACTGATGTTATTATTGACAGTATTAAATTATGTTATCTCCGCACTGACAGTACTGATGTTTTTAATGACAGTATTAATGTTATCTCCGGACTGATGTTATTAATGACCGTATTAATTTGATCTCAGTACTGATGTTAATGACAGTTTTAATGTTATATCACAGCACTGACAGCGTTAATATCTACTGACACCCTTATGTCACAGTTCAGTTGTTATTACTGATATCTCGCAGCACTGTCTGTGTTAATCTTATAATTATTGACACTCGTCCCGCACACAACACTCAGAGACACTCTTGTTTGTATTTAAGTCACATTAATACTCCGACAGACACATATAAATGCTAAAACATGTAAATACTCACATCGCTCCGCGCGCGACTCCTCATTAATGAGACTTAAACCACCTCAGTCAGTCTTTACTGTTGTTATTCGAACTCCATTGCGTTGTTTGTTCTCCGAGCTTTATATAAATCGTTGAATGTTTTTAAATCGATGAATACTGATTCTAAGCTCTGAATGTTGATTTAGATGCGGATTTAATGGCGGCGCTGACAAAATAAAAACGACCAGCGTCTTGCGCACCGTCACGAGCACGTGACCAAACGCACCGCTGCCGATTGGACGATTCCACACCATGTGAAAACCAACCCTAGAATGAGAAATTCGTTTTTTATTTTTTTATTTTCATTTTATTTGTGTTTTCATTTATTTTTAGGCAATATTTTATGTAAAGTCAAAAGCTATAAAATACATAGAATCGTGAAAATAAATTACTTTAAAAATGAATATGGTCATTACTTGTTGTCCGTATACCTTAATTATTTAAAAATTAAAACAACACCAAGGCATCCAAGAAATAATAAGAACACCAAACAAGGGTGTTGATCATTTAAACTTTACTTCGCTATATTACTATTAAATCCTAATCTAATTATGACAAACTATATATCGGTGGAAAGGTCTAAGACTCCTAAATAGATATTTGACTGCTGTTTTTTGCTACAAATTATGTAGGAAGAATAACCGATGAATTTTTGACAACCGTTTCAAAACCGTTTTGAAATTGCATTGAACGTTGCGTTGCCATAGAAACGGTACTCTAAATTATTTTATCAGGCTCCTCCCCTTTTGGGCATCATTATTTTTCAGAATTTATGATCAAAACCTTTTCTAATCTTGACAAAACACATATTGTTAGAAAGGTCTAAGTCTCAAGGTTCCAAATGTTGTGACAGAATTGATATTTGGACAGAAATGTATTCATTTATTAAGGCAGAATGTATACAACTAAACTCAATGGAATGTATGTCACCCGGTGGCTATGTTTGATATTACGCCTAAACAAAATCTCATGGGAACTTCAATTTTTGTGATATCAACTTCAAATTTGGAACACAACTTGGTTAGATATATGGCTTTATAGTAATTTTAGAGTAAAAAATATTTTGTAAAATATATATTTTATATAAAAGAAAAAATAAATAGTACAGTATATTTGATTTACTGTAAATTTAAACTTCCATAACTTTTTCATACTTTGATTTTTTGAAGTGTTTCCACTTCAGCAATAATCTGCTGAGTGTTTCCTTTAAAAACACCAAACTTTGGTCTATATTCCAAAGCATTCTTGAATTACAACCATTTAAGTTTGAATAGTGCATTTTAACCCCCATTCTCAAAAAGGGGGGTGACAGTGAAGTAGGGGTTAAATACCCCACCCCACCCCCACCCCCACACACACACAACATAAAGCTGAATGTGATTTGCAACTCGACACGCCCATATGAACCTGAAAGGGAGAAATTGAGAAGAGTAGTTGAAAGGACAGGCCAAGAATGGAGTCTTAAAGGATTATTGGGAAATAAAGGGAATATAAAAGATATTTATAGATTAAGGAAAGCATTATTTATTTATCTTCAGAATACAAAATTAAAAAATAGAATTTAATAGATGTAAAACAATGTTGCTACACACTCATGAACAGTAGGTGGCGGTATGCACCTTAAGTTGCTTGCAATCCGCCATGATAGAAAAGAAGAAGAAGAAGAAGAAGAACTCGACACGCCCCTCTGCGTGACGTCATTCCAACATGGCGGCCTACTTGAATCGCTTGCACCACATTGCGCTGCACGTCTCAAACGTGGATAAAGTTGCTCATAAGCTCGTGTCCCGGTTCCAGTTTAATGTGTTTGCGGCCAGACTGACAGACCGAGCGAAGCAGCTCGCGCTCCGCAGGGGATCGGCCGTGTTCGTGGTCAACCAGAGGCCAAACGAGCCGGTGACCGGACCTCAGTCACGTGCCTGGAGTTCCGTGGCCGCTAGAGACCACCAGGACCTGAGGTGTCTCTACGGGGCGCATGCGCACTACCCGGTGGACACCGTGAGTAACGTGTGTTTCGAGGTGGAGTGCGTGGAGCGCGCGTCGCGGGCGTTGCGGGATCAGGGTCTCTGCGAGTTCCTCCAGCCGCCCACCGAGGTCTGCGATGCCCGCGGGCGGGTCTGCTTCTCCGTGCTCCGGTCCGCGGTGGGGAACGTGTGCCACACGCTCATCGACTGCTCCCGGTACCGGGGTCTGTTCCTGCCGGGCTTCAGCGCGGTCGAGCCGGGCTCGCAGACCGCGGAGCGCGCGCACTGTCCCATCAGCCACTTCGACCACATCACGTTCGCGTGTCCCCGGGGCAGCACTGCACTCCTCACCCGCTGGTACCAGCAGAACTTCGGCTTCCGGAGGTTCTTCATCGACAGGTATCAGCAGCATCATCACACAGTCTCCTGCTCAGTGCTGACGACACATATCTCTATTACTATTACAGCTGGAGATTAAATGCAAATGTTATGGGTTTGATTCCTAGGGAATGCATGAACCGATCCAATGTATATACATTGAATGTATTGCAAGTTCAAAGAGAACAGGCAAACTGTAGAGTTGCAACATTAAAGTCCTGGGTTTGAACCCTAGGGAATTCTTGAACTAATACAATGTATAGCTTCAGTGTTTCTCAAACTTTTTCTGCCATTCCCCACTCTGAAGGTAGGGAAGGGTTCGTGCCCCACCTGTCCCCATGCAATCGCCCCAACAAAATGCTAATAAACTAGGCTTTAAGTTAAAATGTATTTTATTAACATGACATTTTAAAAACATGAACATGACAGTAGATAAAAATAATAATGCAATTGTGTTTGTATTTTGCCTCTGATAACATCAAATTCAGAAACGGAGAAAATAAAAGTGTGGACTAGTTGTGCTTTGCTTTACTATTTTGTCACTTCGCAAACTGCATGCAAAAAGAATCTCAGGGTTTTTCCTGGCTCAAAACGAGGCGGAGGTGGTAAAATCCTAATAATGTACGTATTTTAGGTATTTTTATAATAATAACTGTATTTTTCGAAGACTATCATATAAGCTACTGTGTTTCCCACAGTATTTTGTGTGTGGTGTGGACCTCTGCACCCCTAGGGGGGTCCGCGGGCATGCTCCCCGGAAGAAAAGTTTGTACGTTTTAAAGATAAATGTATAAATCTGGTGCACTTTGAAAGTTCAAAATTAAGTGATTAACTAATTTAGTGTCTGCAATGAGCCTGTTTTGTAGTAGGCTACACATATTGTCTGAGCCAGAGACGGAGAGCGCTCACCGCTTGACATCACAACTATTCAGTGTTTTCAACCACATCATGTTTATTTTAGGTTTCAGACATTTAAATTCACATAAGTAAGTTACTAAAAAAGCAATACATTTAGAGTTTGTCAAATACACACCTATGTCTATGGAAGCGGCAATAATAATTATTTCCATTATAATTAGACGACACGTAGGCCTATTATTCATATCAAATACACATCGTGTAAGTAACTTTCAAGATTACTCTATGCTTCTCCCAGGTCACCGGCCACTTACTTTCATGTATTACGGGAGAAGTGGATAAATTGTCGTTTGTTAAATCCAACAGATCCGATTCTCTAAAATCCGGCATAAACTAACGCCCATCGCGTATAGCTCAACTAAGGTGTTTAAACAACAAAACACATCGACTTGCTCATATTTGACAATCGGAATATCAGATATTTCCTGCTATAGCCAACAAATTTGTGAAATACAAGCAGATAATCAGTCATTAAGCGCTTGTGGCTGTGGTGTGACTGCAATGACGCGTCACCATGGAACCCATAAAGGGATACGATCTAAATAACGGGCGCCTCTAAAAACTTTTAAACTTACGTGTAGAGCTGTCACGATATCTACTTTTTGTTGTGCGATATATTGCACCAAAATTAATTGCGGTAAACGATATTATTGTAATTTTCAGACCATTTTATGCCACTGATTACATAATGACAATATAATAGCATAATAATGCAAGTACACTGTTTCAAAGAACATTTTATTCTTATTCTATTCAATATTTAGACATTGTGAAATGTGAAAAAAATATATATCACAAATAAATAAAACAAGTAAATAAATACACTTTCGTTAACAAAAAAAGTGCAAGGTATAAAGAACTAGATCAAAACAAAGTAATATGTCAATTTAAACTTTTAAAGTGTCTCACACAAAGGCACAGATGCATCAACAGGACATTTCTGCTGTCAGATTAGTTTTTTAATTGTTAGGCAGATTCCGAGAAAGGAACACCAACATGTTTACGTTGTGGGGCTTAAAGGAGAACTTTTCCTGAAAAGAATTTTAACATTGAGCTCATTTTCTTGGTAAATTTGGAGTGCTGTCAGTACAGAGAACAACGACAAAAATCGGTGTTGCCTACACCGTGTTATCCTCTTTTTAAAATTTGCACATTGTTGACTTAAACGGGGCTAGTTTTAAACCTGTTAACATCCTTGATGTGTCATTTTAAGTGAACAGCCATGTGAGTGATTTTATTCAGAGTGAACACAGTGAAAGATATGAATAAAGATGTGAAAGATATGAATAAAAATTATGTTTATCCAGCCAGCTCACATAGCCTACCTGTATTTACTTCCTGTTTTCGGTCGAAGTCCACAGTAGTCGATTGTCGAGTTCGCGCGCGCGATCATTGGTAACCAAGATGACTAATGATCGCGCCCGCAAACTGGACAATTGACTACTGTGGACTTCGACCGAAAAAAGGAAGTAAATACAGGTATGTGAGCTGGCTGAATAAACACCATTTTTATTCATATCTTTCACCGTGTTCACTCTGAATAGAATCACTCACATGGCTCAATTCCATGTTGGACTCGTTATTCCTAACTGGCTCGCTGTAGATGTCACGAAACAGAACACTTGGTTCACGCCTTCTCTTTACCTGACGGTCTCTCTCTCTCTGTGTGTGTGTGTGTGTGTGTGTGTGGACACGCTGCCTGAGCCCCGCCTCCGACTCAGAGTGCAGACAAGATGACAGAGGCAGCGCGATCAACTAAAATGTTGGTGACATTCATTGTAATGTAAAAATAAATCTAATTATTTTTTTAAATAATAAAACAAATTATCAGTTGCAATATATCGCGGCACCAAAAATGATCGCGGTCATTTCCATATATCGTGCGATAAGTCGATATATTGACTATCGCGACAGCTCTACTTACGTGTGAAAAGGTTAAGTAAGGCTTACATTTAAATGTGTCGTTTGTTTTGTTTTGAGTTTATGCTCAATAAATAAAGGAATTAATAGAGATGGACACAAAAATTACCACATTTTCTCCCGTTTGTCGCGCCCCACTTGTCATGTTTCTATTCGCCACCAGTGGGGCTAAAGCAACACCAAGGAACTTTTCCTCTGCGGTCGCCCCACAGGTTGGAAGCGGAATTGTCCTCATTAGAACTACAGAAACGCGACCCGATCTGGCAATCTTACATAGCGTGGATATACCAGATAAAGGACCGCAAAGCGGTGACATAAGTGCATTTCACCATGTTACGACTTGATGAACTACTGGAACGATTTTGGAAACATTATTTGAAGGTAAAAAATCCTACTTAGTGTTGCTTTAAATGCAATGCAAACAAAAAGTATCTGCCATATGCATAAATGTAAGAGGCTTAAACAGTAAAGTATGATGCCGGCCAAGGTCTGGGTTCGACTGCATGAACTGCTAAAAAGTATACCTTGGCTTTAATGTCATGCAAGTCACTTTGGATAAAAGCATCTGCCAAATGCATACATTTTAAGTGACTTAAACTAGTTAGTGGTGGGCAGATCGAGGCTTTGTGAAACTCTGAAACAGTGGAAGCAAATGTGTCGAGATGTAGTGTGTGAACACTCGCACACCGTCTCCACGGCGACCCCTAGCAGCTTCGGAACACTCGCACACCGTCTCCAGGGCGACCCCTAGCGGCTTCGGAACACTCGCACACCGTCTCCACGGCGACCCCTAGCGGCTTCGGAACACTCGCACACCGTCTCCACGGCGACCCCTAGCGGCTTCGGAACACTCGCACACCGTCTCCACGGCGACCCCTAGCAGCTTCGGAACACTCGCACACCGTCTCCACGGCGACCCCTAGCGGCTTCGGAACACTCGCACACCGTCTCCAGGGCGACCCCTAGCGGCTTCGGAACACTCGCACACCGTCTCCACGGCGACCCCTAGCGGCTTCGGAACACTCGCACACCGTCTCCAGGGCGACCCCTAGCGGCTTCGGAACACTCGCACACCGTCTCCAGGGCGACCCCTAGCGGCTTCGGAACACTCGCACACCGTCTCCAGGGCGACCCCTAGCGGCTTCGGAACACTCGCACACCGTCTCCAGGGCGACCCCTAGCGGCTTCGGAACACTCGCACACCGTCTCCACGGCGACCCCTAGCGGCTTCGGAACACTCGCACACCGTCTCCACGGCGACCCCTAGCGGCTTCGGAACACTCGCACACCGTCTCCACGGGCGACCCCTAGCGGCTTCGGAACACTCGCACACCGTCTCCAGGGCGACCCCTAGCAGCTTCGGAACACTCGCACACCGTCTCCACGGGCGACCCCTAGCAGCTTCGGAACACTCGCACACCGTCTCCACGGCAGTGTTTTGAAATTGCCATCACCAAAACTAGTATAGCGCTTGCAACGTCAAGGTCATGGGTTTGAGTCCCAGGGAATGCATGAACTGATTAAATGTGCTCCTGTCCTGTACAAATCTCCTCGTGTGTGTGTGGTCATGCCGGCTGTCCCTGCAGGGACGAGGACGAGGAGGCGGGGTACGTGCTGCACCAGGACGGGATCGGGCTCCGGCTCAAAGCGATGGAGTCGGGAGGCGCTCCGCCCCGCAGAGACGAGGACGAGCCCGACTGCAAGCTCGTGTTTTCAGAGTCTCTTCCTCAGCGAGGCACGGTCACGCACCTCACAC